CCCCCCCCTGTTGCTCGTGTTGTGGCTGTGACTTGCATTTCGCCAGTCCGCTTGTCCTGCGGGTGCCCGATTGTGTATGTGTTCGCATGCGAGCCACCGAACTGAGCAAAGGCTCTCGCTCCCTTCATTCTCTCTCTATCTGCCCGTCTCTCTGTGTGTTGCAACACACGCGCCCACACGCGGTCGCGAACGAATTAAAAAACAACAACAACAATTCAGGTAGCGGAAATAGCGCTGCGGACCGCGGCGCTGGAATGCTGCCGACGCGGTCACCATCCCTGCCACAAGAGGGTGCATGGGGCAGTGGAAGTTGGAGCTCTGCTGCTGCTGCTGCTGCCAGTACTGCCGCAGCACTCTCAACACCACCACCACCGAGCAGCTGGCGAACACGGGTTGTGCAGATTGGCTGGTTGCTCTTCACCGTCGTGGCGTTCTTTCTCTTTGTGGTTGGCCTGAGCCGCAACAGCCGCGCCGTCGTGCGCGTGGATGGCTGGGACGAGGTGTTCGCGGTGGTCGGCGCGTACTGGTTCTTCCCCGCCGCAACCGCCGCGTACCACCTCGCCGCCCGCATGCCGTTCATCACGCGGGCACTCGAGGCGAAGCTGTGGTTCTACGCACTGCAGGTGCTGCTTCTCCTGACGTACGTCGCGCAGCAGGGCGTCTTTATAGCCTATCTCGTACGCTACGTCGGCCGACACTGCTGGCTCTTCATGATCCCCGACGTTGCGGTGGCGGCGATGATGCTCGCATCGCAACGCGTGCGGTTCGCGTGGCAGTGGCCGACGCTTTACGTGCTGGCGCAGGCGGGGAAGCTGGCCGCGTTTTGGTCGGAAATGGACCGCAACTTCGAGGCGACAACGCCGATGGGCGCCGACGGCCTGCTGGGGATGCTGGTGCTGACGATCCCGGTGGTGCAGTTCCCGGTGCTCATCTCACGCCTCCGCGCGGGGACGTCGCTGACGAAGGCGTACACCACCAACATGGCTGCGGTGTTCGCCCACGTGCTTCACTTCATGGATGTGCTAGAGCTCTATTTCAGCGGGCGCGAGATGCGCAACTTCCCAGGTAGCGTGAAGCCGCTCGTGTTGTTCTTTGCGGTGATGGGGCACATCACGTGCAACATGTACTACGCCACTCTCTTCCTGAAGGACGACGCGACGGCGCGGTTTCTGCGCCGCTTTGAGGAGCCGAGCCAAGACGGCACCGACTTCTTGATCGCCCCCACCGAGCCGGGCAGGGATGACGAGCTCCTGCATTACTTCCTCTGGACCTTCTTCTTTATCGACCTCCCGTACGCCGTGATGCGGATAGTCGCGCTCGTCGTCCACGGCAAAGACGTCTCCGCCTTCCTGGGAAAGAATATCATGATGATGTTGGGCGTCGTGATGCTGCTGATGCGTGGACGCAGGCCGTAGGGAGTACCGCGCCTTGCATCGTGCACATGTCGTCTCTCTTTCACGCCCCTTTCCTCACTTGCCTGATACCGGCTGACAAACGAGCATGCCGTCTCGAATTTACACGTACATTGTCATCATCATCACCATCC